CCTTAGTTGTTCCTCGAATCCTCTCGTTTCTAACCCTATCAAGCCTCGTAACTCCACAAATCCATCTCAACATTTTCATCTCGCCTACCTCTAATTTCTTCTCTTGAGCCTTTTTGATGGACCAGGCTTCCTCTCCGTACATCATCGCAGGTCTCACAACGGTTTTATAGACCTTTCCTTTCACCCTTGCGCTGATCTTATTGTCGCATAGCACTCCCGACGCATTTTTCCAATTTCTCCATCCCGACTGGATTCTATGGCTTATTTCAGAGTCGAGTGTACCTTTGATGCCACATAGGACCCAAGATACTTAAAGGTGTTTACCCTTTTAAGTTTCTAGTTTCTGGTATTAGACATTTTGTATCTCACGTTTGTTAATGTAAAACCATTGATTACGTTATAGTTTCCGATATATGCTCTGCTCTTTTATCAACTAATGTACGGCTTTTCCCTCAATACACAAGATCGGACATTCTGCACAATTAGCAACAAGTCTTGATTTGGTAACAATCCTTAGGTCAGATATGTTCATATTAGCTTTTGGGACTTTGTGTCTCTGGTTTATATGAATGTGAAATAATAATAGTATCATATTGTTACGCTACCGTTCGTTAGTTAATTTTCCGTATAATTTCTTTCCGAAGAAACTTTAACGATACAAGTCCTTTCTTAAATAAAACTGGTTTATTCTTTCTGAATACAACTTTGCAATACACTTAATTTCCACAGTCACGCTATAACAAACGCTATAATTCACAACGAACGACTCACGCGCTCGACCCAACTGTCCTTATCTATCTCTGTCTGCAATTCAATTACATCGTTGCCGTCACTTCTTGGCGGTCTTATATATACAAGAATACCGCAAATCTAGTAAACACTCGAGGATTCACGAACCTTCGAGAATATGACGTGTTACTAGCGTCACGTGACCTCCGCTGTTGTAACAATATATAAAATGATTTCGACAAATAGACGTTGCACAAATTAATGAACCACGGTATCTCTATCATCTTCGTGAAACAAAAATTCTCAAACACATTCCTTATCAGTTGATAGAGGACTTTGTATTTACATTTATTAATTAGCCAATGAGGTATGGTGGTGAAGTAATCCTAAGTGTTAGATTGTTTTTGAAAGATTAATTTTGGTCTTAAGATTTTAATAGGACACATTTTTCTAATTCTTTGATGAAAAGTGCCATCAACGTTGACAATGTAGAAGTCTTCGTAAATAACGCATAACTAAGTAGAATACAAGTTATGTCTGTATTATAAACGCTAGCTACTTGTGGCCGTGCGTGGCCACGTGATTCGCTTACTCGAACCGTGAATCATTGTTCATGGTGCGTGTCCTGTTGTCGCAAAATTGCGTTTTGTACATTAGAGCTGTGGGTGCTTCAAAAATAATGGTCATACTGCCCAATTTGGTCAGACAATAATAGCCTAAGAGTTGACAGTGGGCGCTGTTTACTAGTAGCTTTCCCTCTAGTCAATCAGTTTAAAATGTATCTTACGTTTTAAGTTCCTTAGTAGTTTGTATGGTATAAGTGACGAACAAGTACTTATTTAGAAAACAAATATTTGAATCATATATTATGTTCTAAAAGGTCCTAGGAACGGTATCACAAACAATTACACACGGGGAAATTTTCAAAGTCAAATATCTTTATTTCTACTGTACAATATTTCAATTTACAAAACTTCTCGACATACATTTGGTATATCTTATGATAAAACCTCAAGGTTGGATACACACATTTGAACTTTTTATTCTACAGAGAAATACATTGGCTTGGTATAAATGTTACTATTGAAAGAAATTGAAAACTAAATGAAAACATTCCGTAAAGTCACTCATTTCTAAGTATATTTTCAACTTGCTACATCTTGTGACAACCATTACATTAAGGAATAAAAAAATGAAAGCTTCTATTACTTTGATAACAAGTATTAAAGATGTATTTTGTAAATAAATTAATGTTCTGACCTATGGATGCATGTAATAACAAGAATACAACTACAACTTTGGTGACAAAATACTGGAAGACGAAACTTATCTAGTATCTGATGCTTAAATAACATAAAAAGCATGTTATTCCAACGTTAAAAGAAATCTGAACCTAAATATCCAATAATATTTATCTAGCTACCATCGATAAAAACGTGTCTTGCAAAATCTGAATTTCTCGATCAATAATAATGGAAAACAGAAACTAAAGAACCTTATTAACCAGACTATACTCATCTGTGAAAAACAAAAAAGGTAACTGTGTTAATAAAAACATAATTCCCATGGAGCATAAATAAGTAATCAGTATCACAAGAACGAACCTAATGAACCGTACATATACCAAAGGTAGTTTCTATAATTTAGGTAACTGTGTTAATAAAAACATAATTCCATGGAGTATAAATAAGTAATCAGTATCACAAGAACGAACCTAATGAACCGTACATATACCAAAGGTAGTTTCTATAATTTAGGGAACTGCAACAACTAAATAAACAACAATTCATTATATGGTTGTTTGTCGAAAGCTCTTAATTGAACCGTACATATACCAAAGGTAGTTTCTATAATTTAGGGAACTGCAACAACTAAATAAACAACAATTCATTATATGGTTGTTTGTCGAAAGCTCTTTAATGTAGAAAAAAAGTTTAATAAAAGATTACTTCCAGTCATCCTCGAGAATTTACAAAGTTATTTATGAGGTGCAGAGTTAAAATGTCTCCTCTCTTCTTGCTGTCTGCTGAATACGTTTGCTGGGCCGAAGTCGCTGGAACGGCTACATAATATTTTTTGCAAAATAATTTTCTCTGGTATTTTAATATGAAAGACAAATTGACAGGAGAAGTCAATAAATTGACCTGGTGTTTCGGTGGAAAAAACGTAAAGTATTTTTAGTAAAAGGAGATGGAAGGTTGGTAAGATTGCTCGGAAAATATTTGTTTTATAATAACATGATTGATGCTAAAATAACAAAAACGGATATTCATTCTCATAAACAACAGAAGTAAGAGTCGGTAAAACTGAGATACAGATAATTTTTCGAATTATTTTCAGAGAGAATAACTTGTTCGCAATGATCGTTTGAAGTTAATGTCAATAGAATTGAATTCTAAACTAGTTTGTTTTTCATAAAATGGCGTTCACAGCGATTGAAAAATTGGTTGATTGTCTTACGTGTAACTATAGGTTTATTGTGTAAGAATTTTTTAACACATTCTTACAATGTTGGATATCTAGTTTCAAGATAGTCGGGTAAGTGGTACAGGTGGTTCTAGGTAAATCAGCCACAAAAACCTTAACATAATTTTAAACCATGATTATTTGTTGGGAAGTTCTTCAATAGTATTGGTTGTGAAAAGAATGGGATTTGACTACTTTATATTTTGTGGTTTGACGTCATTTTTGAAAGTATTGGGTGATTATTTCAGATAAAGTAATATAGTATCGGGTACTTTTATTAAATATATTTTAGTTGCGAAAACAAAAATTGTGATATTACCTATATAGTTAACTATTATGGTTATATTCACGTAATTCTAAATATATAAAACATTAAAGATAGTGAGAAAAGCAAACGGTAAACATCACACGGGGAAAAGGGAAAACATGGAAAAGGACCACCAGAGTTTGCAGCGCATCCAATATAGAAAAACGACAAACTAAATAACTTATAAAGCCCAGCTGAAGACACCGGCCGGGTAATACAGCCTTGCCACTTTCCTAGCCAGTAAGCGTAGAACCTCTGCATACCTGAAGTACCAGCCTTACTGTTTTTTCTTGATCTCGGTTGATGAAACTGGAACAGTTTTAACACAGAATGTTAGCACAAATTGAACTAAATAAGAAACAGCTTTAGCCACATAAAGCTTGAGAAGAGTTTCAAATGAATTACCCACCAACGTCAAATTATTAATTATAATTTTCAGCTAGAGGTTTGAGGCATGATGTGGTAAAATCTGTAAGCCTCGACCATATTACTCGAAGCTTATGAAAATAGTTCTTAACTACTATTAAAAGAACTTTGTTTACCTGCAAAATGATGGGTTCTAACTTATTCACTTATTATTTCACTAACCAAGACATCGAGGTGTACAGGATATATATTGTGTTGTGTTTAATAAGTAAAAGTTAACTGTACACAAGAATAGTACAATTATAATCACGGATGATATTATAGCTTCAAAGATATGAGAAATGATATCGGAAAATTCTGATGTCTTTAAAAGAGAGAATGAAAAAGAAACATAACTGTTACACATTGCTTAATTATTTCTAACAAGTTTAATGACAGAGGGCTTATCAACTGGAAGATAAATAGAACAGAAAAAAAAAATGAAAATGACGGACAAGTTAGAAAAAAAGAATCGCAGCTGAAAATTATTGGCAAAGCAAGAAATTAGTGGACTAGAAAACGAGTAGCCCTATTTATATTAAAAGAAGCCCAGAATAACATTATCAGACCAAAACCTAGAAAATGTGAAAAGATTTTAATATCAAATTCATGGTGTCTATGCTTAGAGTCCGGTATAAAAATGGAGAACTCTTTTATGATCAGTTAATAAACACATTAGTTGATTCTCCATATAAATAACGAATTATAAAATATTTCAATTAAAACTTACAAATCTAATACCAGATAGAATTATGTATAAAAACATGTTATATTAGATAGATGGGGAATAAGTTAATAATGAAATGTGACAATAAAGCAGACAGACATCTTCCAGAGACTTACTATGAAGTAACCTTGGGCTGTGCAGGAGTGATATGGTGAATTTCACCTCATCTTTTTAACAGTACATGACCTCGTAAAGTACAGTCTGTTGTCCAACATATGGACCCCGTGACACTTCTCTGTATGAGAGTCAGTATCAAAACTGTTCCTTGACATTGCAGTCTCTCACAGAAACAAGAAAATGGTTGCACCAATGTTCAAAACTTCGTACTAAAACCTTATTTACAGTTAAAACTTGTGTACATGAAAATGGTTGCACCAGTGTTCAAAACTTCGTACTAAAACCTTATTTACAGTTAAAACTTGTGTACATAAAAATGGTTGCATCAATGTTCAAAACTTCGTACTAAAACCTTATTTACAGTTAAAACTTGTGTACATAAAAATGGTTGCATCAATGTTCAAAACTTCGTACTAAAACCTTATTTACAGTTAAAACTTGTATACATGAAAATGGTTGCACCAGTGTTCAAAACTTCGTACCTGTTTAGAAAATCTTTTCCCATACTATAAAAGCTGTAACTTTTAATGAAATAAGATGGATGTTTTCTAGCCATGTACACAAGTTTTAACTGTAAATAAGGTTTTAGTATTTAAATCAACATTTAACAATTAAATACTAAAACCTACTTTACCGTTAACACTTTTGTACATGAGAATGATCGCACCAGTGATCGAAACGTCGTACCCGATTGTAAAAGCTGTAACTTGTAATAAAATAATACTCATAATCAGTAAGTAAACTCCAAACAATAGTATTGTCAATAATCTTAGTATCGGAAGATATCTACAAAACTGGTGTATATCAGAATGGAATTCACAAGGTCCTAGCTATACCTAAGCACTTGAGAACAAATACTGTAAGAATGAAAGTGAAAAAAGTCACGAAACTTTGTTGTGTAAGAGCAAAATCAAGAGTCTTGAATAAAAGGAACTGTGAAAGATACCACACATGTAATGTTTGAAGCACAGAATTTAGCATTGACATGTAATCATCCTACAATGTGAAAACATTAAGGGAAGGTAAATAGGGAACTATCTTAACAGTTCACTCAGGAATTAGAATTCACATAAAACCATTCCACAGTAAGTGTGAAAACAATATGGTAAGATAATAAGGAACTGTTCAAAACTTTAGAACAGATAAATAACTTATCAAATCAAGTAAAAAAATAGAATAGTTTAGATAACAAAAACTACATCTAAATAAAATTCACACAATTAAGTTTTTTTGTTTTTTTTAAATAGCAAGATAATTATTAAAGCTGGGAAAAGGCCTAGCTCAAAATAACCCCAATGAATTCTAAACACATTGTTCAAAACCTAATAGTTGAAGGAAAAAAAACTATAGTAGTGCCAGTACAGTAAATAATTAGTACCATGGTACATAAAGGAGTATTTCAATTTTGGAAAATAACAAGGATAATCCACATTTACATGAAAAAATAACAACAATATTATGGTTGACTCAAGAGAAAGAAAGGGGAAACAGCCATAAGACATATTTCCATAAAGTGTTACACAAAAAGGACAGAATAGATCATACAGCCTGGATAAAACAACTGGGGAAAGACTTGTTTCAGTATGAATGCCTTAAGGTGCTCAGTAAAAGACAGAATGAAAACATATCAAGTATTGAAGACAGGCAGATAACTGTCTGACACAGAGAATACTAATGACTAATAATCCAAACCTCAAAGTTAGGGATAAAAAGGTGCCAAACAAAATCCACAAACAGCTCGTTGTTAAGCACAAGCATACACAATGAGCTATCTGTGCTCTGCCCACTCAGGTTTCTAACGCATTGTAAGTCCACAGACATACAGCTGTGCTACTGGAAGGCATATAAAAAATAACAAAAAAGAGAAAGGGAAACAAAATCAATGTAAAGAACAAACTCTAGTCAAAAATATAAATTAATCTTCATTAAGCAAGTAATACACAAAAATATAAACTAGTAAAGCATGTACAATCTACCAATAGTACAAAGAAAATGCATGAGCCCAGAATTCCAATGACCTCAGAATGAAGAAAAGTAGCTCACTGCCAAAGATTTATACAAGTCACTTTCAACAATTAAACATCAGATGATAAAAATCACTTAAAAGCAAGCTAAATGTATGAACATTAACTGTGTGTCAATTTGATGACAAGGAACCCACTTTGAGACTAATAATGGTTGGAAACGGCTTGGATGGGTAATGAAGAAAAACTTTAATACAAGTTTAACATAACAGCAAATGTACAACATTTCTACAAAGTTTTGTCATCATCAGTACCTGATCAGTACCATCATTACCCATTCAAGCCATCTTCAACCATTATTAACTGTTTTTGTGAACAAGTCCATTGACAAAATTTACTACAAAAATGATTATACTGAAAAAAACTTATAAAAGCAGTAATTTACAAAATTGACCTTGACAAAATTTACTACAAAAATGATTATACTGAAAAAACTTATAAAAGCAGTAATTTACAACTAAGTGTGTTGTAAAAGCAGTAATTTACAACTAAGTGTGTTGTAAAAGCAGTAATTTACAACTAACTGTGTTGTAAAAGCAGTAATTTACAACTAAGTGTGTTGTAAAAGCAGTAATTTACAACTAACTGTGTTGTAAAAGCAGTAATTTACAACTAACTGTGTTGCTGTGACAAACAGTTTTCAAGAACTCATAAAATTATTAAAAAAAAATCTTCCCCACGACTAGTATCATATATCAGATGTGCTAAACCTAAGCATATAATGGCCACCAATCTATTGAATTTAACAAAATTAAGTCTTATACATGATAGAAAAAATTTACCAGTATGTGAAAAAAGTAATTAAAATATATCATTTACGTAAGGAATTTATCAAATCAATTAATAAACATTCTAAATAAATAAAATTTTGAAACTTAAAAATCTATACTATGCTTTTCTTCCTCTGAGACATCATCTTACATTGTTAATCTACCACTCCTACTAATGATTTTTGCTAATATTTTAAAGCTTAATGATAAACTGGTACTAGCTTAGTATGTTAATTCATTTTATTATTTTGTCCAAAGAATAACATCTAGCCATAAGAAACAATGACCGTATCATGCAGGAAGAAATAATTACATTTTTTCGAAAACGTGTTTGTTTGTTAAGCAAAAAGCTACACAATAGGCTATCTGTGCTGTGATCATCATGAGTACTGAAACCTGGCTTTTAGTATTATAAGCCTTTAGACCTACTGCTGAGCCACTATGGGGAATTGTAAAAAGTGATTAGTAGAAGAAAACAGTGTAACTGCATCTGATGAAGTCATCAGGATAGAATAATTGGTTACTACTTGGAGAAAAATCCATGTAAAACTCTTCTCAAACAATCAATTACACATCTATAAAATTACAATAGCACAAATAGAATTTTAAAAACAAATTGAAGAAAATGTTTTTAATGATTACATAGCTGTGCAAAAACACTAGAAAAGGTTTTTTAATTTAACATAGATAAAACTATTACAAACATAAACTAGAAAAGTAGTAAAGAATCATTACATTATAAAAATAAGCCAACTAATACAAATTAGTTTCTTCCAAAAAAGTTTGCCCACAACTCAAACTTCATTACAAATCATAAATTTGTGCAACAAATATTGCTTTCCTTCAAAATTACTACAAAATATAATACAAATTATATACAGAATTTTTACTTGAATTAATATTTTAGATCACAAATCATTTAAAATCTAGTACTACAAGACATAAAACAACAAACAACTAAAATAAAAGTTTTTTATTAACCTCAAGCACAATTTTAATAAATCACTAAACGTCCCACTTTAATGAGGACAGTACTACTGATATATTTATATAAGTCTATTTTCAATACGAACTCAAAGAAATCTGATCCAAACAAAAAGAATGGAAAAGTTACTGAAAATTACTACAGAAACATATATATTGATGGTTATTACTAATCTGTGTAATATAAAACTTTAGAAAAATAAGCTGAAAGAATAAAGTATATGGAGCTTTTAAGACTTCACAGAAATATACATATATAAACCATATACAATAATGCATTTAAACCATACTGATTCTAAAAATCCTGTTATACCTCATGTTAATAATTTTAAATAATACATACTACATTAGAATAAGAAATATTGTTAAATCAAAAGTAAAGTTCCAAAAGTATACATACTTTTAAATTTAAATGTATAATAATAACCACATAGAAATATTTGAAGTTTTTGATTGACAAACTTTCTTGCATGGCTTTAGCTGTGTCATGTACACTTGCATAAGTGTACAAAATATATATGTGTGTGTGTGAACATAAATACTTTGTATACATTTAAAGGTTATTATTTCTTAGGATGTTTAAAACAATAACTGTTAACAGGGTGAAATATACTATATTTGAATACTGGTGAAATTATCCAAGAGCCTAGTTTATTAATCTACAAGATCGTTAATTTCACGACAGCATGCTGCTCTCCCATAAAGTTTCAGCATGCACTAAATGTCCTATAAATCTATTTTTCCCATTTGTAGTTTGTATAGTGTGAATTAAATTTTCAATAAATTTGGAAGTTTAGTTTCATGTGCATAAAAAAATAAAACCAACCATATGAGAAGGATCACTAATCTATTCACAAGAAGTTGTTTTTCTTACATTTAATAAATGTAATTCATATTATTTACAAGCAAATTCATTTATGTGTATCAGTTTGCCAAAACTGCAACTCTGAATTTCAACTTAAAGAATAACAATGTTTACAGACCTTGTATTTTTCCTTCTTTATTCTATTAAAAGTGTCAGGGTATGAAAATGACCAATTATTCTATCATCATCATAATACTTCAATTTACTTTTAAGTATACATAAAACGTTAGTGAATATATCTAGCAGAGTAAAGACCTCATTGAATTTGCTTACATTTTCCCCAATAGTTTTCACTGTAAGATGACTAAGCATGACGAGCATAATATTAGACTACAAATATATTGAAATTCTTTAAATACACCTATATGTACATGTGGGGTTAAGAGGTCAAAGTGTGCATGCCATAACCATTTATAAAGTGCCATTCAACATGATATTATGTATTTGATGTCAGAGTTATCAATTATTCATTTTTCCCTATTGCAGATGTAGCAACAGTTTCAGTTGAAGAGAGTAAATACCAAATACAATAAACAGGTATACAGATAAAACTGAAAATAGCTATTTTGGACGTTCTAGAGATTATGCAAATGCAATAAGTAAACTTTATGATGGACAAAAGTATTTTCATTTTTCAACGTGCTCCGACTTGCCAAGTTCTTAGTCAGACTGATACGTGAATATCAACATGTGCTCCGACTTGTCAAGTTCTTAGTCAGACTGATACATGAATATCAACATGTGCTCCGACTTGTCAAGTTCTTAGTCAGACTAATATGTGAATATCAACATGTGCTCCGACTTAGCAAGTTCTTAGTCAGACTGATACGTGAATATCAACATGTGCTCCGACTTATCAAGTTCTTAGTCAGACTGATACGTGAATATCAACATGTGCTACAACTTGTCAAGTTCTTAGTCAGACTGATGCCAGAAATTCACCGACATATCTTAAGTACAAGTACATTTGTAACACACCTGATTTTTTGTGTACAACAGACTTGTATATCTGACTAAAAGCTTGCCACATTTTGTGTAGATACATGCAGTAAATTTGGAATTACAGTCCACATTTCTTCTCCAATAAGCAGTTGGTCTGATGGACTGACTTTGTGCATGTCTGGTTAAAGTGAAAATTTTTTTGAATTTGTTTACATTTTCCCTTATAGTTTCACTGTAAAATGACCAACGTGCTATTAAACTACAAGTAGTATGAACTTCTTTTCTGGTTCATTCTTGATAGCAAACTTTAACTCCAAATACATCAAATGGCTTTAAAGAAAAATTACACACCAATATAAAAAATGATAAAAATAATGTCATAACTATTTTGTGAAAGCAGCAATAGCAACTATTTGTACAATAATCTATAAACTTCTACTTTAGCAATCATTACAATAGGGAAAAAATCTACATAATATTTGTGTTTGTTTGTAATTAAGCACAAAGCTACATCATGGGCTATCTGTGATCTGTCCACCACGAGTATCGAAACCAGGATTCTAGCGTTGTAAGTCCGCAGACATACCGCTGTGCCACTGTGGGGTTTACATAATATAGTTTCAATTATTAAACAACGGAATAAAAAACATTTAATGTTTCACTGTAAAATACCAAGGTATAACTCAAAATTCTAAATATTGTGTGTGTGTGTATATACTTCAAAAACTTTTAAGGTCAACTAGGGCCCCCTTATTTTTAGTAATACCTTTTCAAGCTTAATACTACAACTTAAATAACAACAATTATGCAGACATGACTATATCTATAGAAAGTGTAGTGAAGACAAATACAGTACACTCAAGTTTGGGTAAACATTACGAAATGTAAGTTATAAGCAAAGAAGCAAAAAGTTTATATACAGCAGCCATTCACAAGGAAACAAACTATAAGGAAAAATTCAGCTATAAATCCAAGTTATTCAGAACTATCAACCATCCAAGAAAGATAAGCAAAGTTTAAGTGACAAACACAAACTATGTTTTATATATTAAGACACAGAAACATAATACCTAAATGAAATGTGTTGCAGAGTAAAACACATGCAGCTGGTAAAAGTAAAACACAACAAGAGTTACAATACCTGTCTGGAAGTTAGCTTCTTGTTCTCTTTAACTTCTACACTCAACAAACAAAATGGTCTCTATTTTGATGAAGAGATTAATCATCACAACCATTTAATTAATAGTATTTTAGTGGCATGATTATCACAACTCTTCAAACTTTATTTCATGCTGTTATCTGCAAACATTACTACTCAAGAAAAACAGAAAAGTGCATTTTACTAGCAATTTCTGAAGTTTAATGCTTGTGTGGCCTACCTGTACACAATTGTATTATAATTTGTGTAAAGTTCCTATAAGTTTTGCTGCTTTATAGTTATAATGGTCACATTCATACCTAGCACAAGTGTACTGTTAAAGCTTATACTTTCTTTTTTGTATAAAATGTAGTGTTTGACCATTATAAATAAGCTTTAGAAAAAAACTCAAACAAACAAAAATTTCAACATTTAATGTTAATTTAAAACAAAATACATCATTTTTTATGTTCCGATTCACTTAACTACTAACTTACCTAATATACAACCTAAGATTTATCAGTTCCATACAAACATTATGTAATCTCTGGATTACAAATGTTGCAAAAGTAAAATAAGAAATATTTCAAGGAAAAATTGTTTACAATTATGGTTGCTATCAAAAGACTACCCTTAATGTTAACAAGCTGTATAGCAGATGTTCAGAAATTATCAACATGCATAATACTGTTTGTTCAATGATTGTACTAAAAAATAAATAAATATTCAAAAATAAATGTTATACCTGTTGTATTATTTTGATATTTACATAATTAGTTGGCAAAAAAACTATTTTATTTGTTTACTTCATCTCAATGAAAATTAAAATCTGCTTCAAGTTTGAATCTTGCAAAACATTTACATATTTTAATTAGAGTTAATAAATAATGTCATCACGCAAAACAATGACATAAAAAATTGATGATTTTAAGGTTTTATAAATGCTAAGAAATAAACAAAATTTCAATTATAATTGAGATGTTTAAATTTTTCTTCATTTGAATAAACTTTAAAAGCATGAGGCTATGCTTACCACAGTCATTAAGCTATATTGTGTCTACATTTACATGCATACCATTCTCACTCACATGCTTTCCATGATTCTTTTTTACATCAAATGCAAGTAATCATTCATCATTATTGTTGAAAATTGTCAGGGTGCATTATTTCCAAGGAATTTTGTCTAGATTTATCTAAAACTCTGTAAGGGACACAAAAATACATAGGAAAAATATTCTCAATATAAAAAGAGTATTATTATTTTAAGATTAAATTAAAAGGATCAACTACAGGATTTCTTTTGGAAATAGGTAAATACATATATACACACAGTGTTATATATATATAAATACATCATACACATTGAGTTAGACTAGATGATTTAGACTTGGAAAAAACTGTTATGTTGGCATGGTGGGGTGAATATACAGAGTTCATTCCATGTTGGGATGTTGTAATATCACGATATCGATATCGACATGCTTCGCTATCACTGGCACCTGACCATGAATGAGGAATTGTTGTGTGAACCACCACCTGGCAAACTGGCTCAATTTTCATGTCTTCTGAGAGTTTGGCTGTGAGAAGTAGGAATCAGGCAGGAAAATGGGAAATGATTGAAACCCCATATTCAACAAAACAAAATATAACATGAAAGCAAATTATCAAAGCAAAATAAAAGGTGTTACATTTATAAAGTTCATCATTTGTAATGAATGAAAATTATTCTTACATTAAATTTTGACTTTTTTACTGTACAGCAAATTCTACCCTGTCATTGCAAGATATTACTACTGTGTTTAAAAGTTTTACATGTAATGTTAGATGTAAAAAAAAAAAGAAATAAATGTTTAGACTTAGTAGGTTAAGAACACTTCCAAAGGGTTGTTAAAAGTATATGAAAAAATCAGGCAGGAATTTGAAGCCCAAAAGATTAAGGTTCAAAAACTATATTTCACTCCCACAGATCAAGAGCAGAGGAGAAAATCAAAAATGCACAAGCAATCCTAACACTTTAAACCAGGAGAAGTAGGATTCATTCAAATAACCCACAGGATGCACCATTCAAAGGTAAGGGAAGAGGGAGCTGTGGCTTTAAGAAAAAGAATGGGAACCATTAGACTGGGGAGTACATCATGAGGCCAGCATAGACAGCCCAAACTGCCAAGATCCAATGAAGTTCAGTAAAAGGATTGCTACCATCAACAAACTTGCGGGCTACAAACTTCATTGTTTCATCTAAGATGATAACTGGAAGGGAGATCTTCAATACTGCCATCCACTCCTCAAAGGAGAGTGGACAAATAGAAAATACAGTCTGAAAAACAATGAGAAAAAAAAAAAACATTTGTCAACTTTGTTGTGAAGAAACATAACAAAACAACAACAAAATAAATTAAATCAGAGGTCTAGCATATCATTTTCTCTAAATATAACTCATTGAAAACAGAGATTACAAAACACTGAATGTTTAGAGTTGAAACTAATTTCAACCATCTTTCATATAGATACATAATTATACTGTGTAAGTAAAAACTGAGCCATTTAATACCTATAAGATTATATATCATATAGTTATGATACTATGAAATCACATAGAATAGAAAAATATTCACTAAACAAATCACATAATCTGAAAGGTAGATCTTTCTTCTTCATGAATGAATTGGGAATACTAAAAATATATGATGTGTTAAAATATTAAATCACACATACACACACACACACACATATATATACATATATATATACCTATACTGACATCTATAAAGTTTAACAGATATTTTTAATAAACAAAATGCAAGAAAGTTAATATTTTCCTTAGCTGAAAATGTATTTCTGATAGATAATCAACTCCATACACAGAAAGCTATTTGCTCTTGAATTGTGCTAATCTGCCTGAAAGACTTGCATGCCACCAGCCTTGTGAAAATTCCAATCTAAAGTTCACGTGAAAATGTGCTACTGCATGATGACGTATCATCTAGCAAAACCCTCCACCAATAGGAGTGCAACACACCTCCTACACAAAATATTTCATTCTTTGGTAAAGCCACAAATAAAAGTGCACCAGGAAAGTTGGGAGGATGAGTGAGAATGTATATGGAGGCAAGTATCTATCAGAAATCAATTATGCAAAATGTCAACTTCTGATACAATCACTCATCTCCATACACAGAAAGCTAGAATCCCACACTGAGATGGTGGAGAGACCAATACAAAAGTTACCTAGATGAGCTCCCTTCAGTAAGCATCCAAAGGAAGCCCATGGGATGTCACATCTTATGACAAGGGCTTCATAGGGGCACACCTGTGGGAGACAGCATCTCCTCTCACCCAGGGAATACTCTTTGCCTATGAACAGGACTAGAAGAGACAAAAGGCCTGCATGGTGTCACAAGTATGGGTGGAATAAGTATGTGACCATCCAAGTACTCACACACAAGACATTTGGATGGCTAATAAGTTTAGTGAGGTTGGGGCTTATCAGACTGTACCATGGGTGCACATCTTCTCAACTATCAGACTCTACTGGTCAAAACTAGCTGTGGGAGAAGGGCACTTGTGATAAGTATTCGTACACAGCTCATCTACGGAGAAGAAAGTAAACGAGTAGAAGGCTTATGTAAGGTGGGAAAGTCAAGAGATATGCAGCAGGTAGAGAAGTATAGGGTGAAAAGTCACTCCACTTCATCCTCCTCAACTTCAGCTTCAAAATCTGTGAAGGAGATTGTGTGGCAGGGATAGAAGAAGATGGCAACATGGACCCCATCATAGGGTGGATGAGGCGACGTTATTCTTCTTCATACTGCAGTGTCAATCGGAATGGCACCCTTTGCAATACAAAATGGCTGTCACAATCTCAACAGGCAAAAACTTCTTAAATTGTTGGTAACAGTTGTACTTACTTCATCAGAAAAAAGAATTCCTGTTAATCTGTGAATTCATATTATAAAGGTTGAAAATACAAAGTAGAATTGTTGAAGTACAAGCCTCAGCAAAAAAACAAAGATCAAAGTGCAATCGTGCCAAAGAAAAGAACAAAATGTAGAGACTGCAGTTGTGCAAGGAAGTATGTTGCATTCCTACTATTGGTGAAGGGTTTTGCTGCATGATGCATTAGTTGAATGTCATGTGGGAGTTTTCAAAAAAACTGGTGACATGTAAGTATCTCAGGCAGATTAGGTAATTCAAGAGAAAAATAGCTTTCTGTGTATGGAGGTGAGTGATCGTAATGGAATTAAATATACTTAGTGTGTATCCCTTTACATATTCAATACACTTAGAAAGAGCATTGAATTGTTGGAAAAGCTTCAGAGGAGGGCTACTAAGATGATACCTGGGATAGAAAGGTTGTCATGTGAGGATAGATTAAGATCTCCAAAATTGTTTACTCTTGTAAAAAGAAGAGTTAGAGGGGGATTTGATTGAGGTGTTTAAAATTGTTAAGGGAATTGATAGAGTTGATGCATCATCTACTGTTGTATTTAATGGTGACAATGTTAAGACTAGGGGACACAAGTAAAAATTTTGGTAGGGTAAAAGTCATCTTCAGTAGATAGCTTTATTTTTCTAACAGGGTGATTGGCCTTTCGAATGGGTTCTCTTCAAATGTTATAGATACAGTTAATTTAAGCGAGTTTAAGGGAAGGCTTGGTAAATATTTGAATGATAAAGGCTGGCTTTGAGTGTTTTTTATTCTTGGGATGGCCTAGATGCACCAAAAGGTGCACTGTTGACCTTAAATTATATGTATAAACAAATCAAATAATTTTAATGTGAAAGTACGCTACACTTTAGAATAAAATACTTTATACAAAGCCTAGATAAAACTTCTTTCGAAACTAAGCAGCTAAAATTTGGAATAAAAAATTAGTGTATGTACTGACCATCTGTGTGTCTGAGAATTAACCATGGAATCACAAAACAAACTTACAGTATAACACAAAGTTATACCTGTACAATGTAATGAAAGACTGGAACTTGAACATTCATCTTGAATTCTGCAAGTCTGAAAAAGCTAAATCGTAAACATGCCACCCCTATTTTTGAATTACCATGAAACATAAATATTTTTCACATTTCTTCGAATTCATGACTAAAACCCTTTTTTTTTTAAACCTATTCATATATTCAATCTATGAATCCCATGTTGCCTACAGATACTTTTGAAATATACTTTAGTGAAGAAAGATTACAAAAAGATATAGTAACATTAACTAGTATTCACGTACAACAGTAAGTAAATCACACATATACATACCGAGAGGATCTCAATATACAAGACCATAAAATGCAAAGTCATTGATAGTGTTATGGCTGACACTAACCACCAATTGGTCCAAGGAGGCATAGCTAGTAGAGACTGGTTTTCTGACAAACTGTAAAAATCGTACACTTCAGCCTTAATCCATTTCTACTTCTCTTAATTCTTCTATTCTTATTTATTAAAGTTAAAATAAATTAATATGAATTCATAATATAAAGGAAGAAATGTATAAGAACTGATATTACAATCTATATTATCAAACTCACTGCATCTTCCATAAACAAAAACAACTGGTATTAGTACGGAAGAAAATTATCACAAGGTCAACGAGTCTATTGATGGAAAAATATGAAAATAAAATATATATGATGTACAAAAGTATTTTATTTTTAACTGAATTCATATTACATTACAATTAAGCACATATAACATATGTCAGGAAAAAAATATCCATAGAATTTGAGTATTAACCACTTTGATAAGAATTATAAAGAAATCTAATAAAAGCATACTAAAACGTAAGTTAAATATAAACTCAGTTATATTTAAATTTCTGGTTGTTTTTTGAATGCCTTCTGTTCTTCCAAGGTAAAACTTGAGAAGTGGTTTAAATTTTAATTTAATAACTTTTCTGTATTTGATGAAATTTATCTTTGATTGCTTTTTCTTCTTACCTTTTTTCAGATATGAACAGAGGGCATTTTATATACATTCTTTTAATTTGCTATTTTAATTCATCTACTTTTACTTGTTCAGTTGTTATTGCAACAACATAAATAGAAGAAAGAAATTAAAGGTTCTGTAGCAGCAACAGTGTTTTATAAAAATAACCCCCTTCTCAGAAAACATGATGTCAGTATTCCCGTCAATAAAAAAACAGGAAAATAAGGCTTTATATCACCACAATTTATACCTCTAGTATAGTTAGTATATAACTAGTTAGTCTAGTTCTGAAATTAGAAATTTTGTTTTCAAAGTTAGAGGCACTTCAGTATTTCATACTATTAAAAAATATGAAGTAAAAATTTCTCTATGTATGCAAGAATTTTATTATCTAAATAAGCATTTGTTTCACCATACGAATATTAAAAAAGCCAAGGAACATGTTATGAACTTAGCAAATAAATTGTGTTTTTATGACTTTTCAATCTTACTTAGTATCTTCTGAGATCTATCAATATATCCAAGTAAAACTGCTTAAGAGATAGCAAGATATTATGTCTCATAGGAATCCAAAACTTATCCAAATGTAATTGTACATTTGGAGCCATTCTATAGTATTTATTCACAAAATTGTAGCTTCTGAACTATTACACCTAAATACTGTCACATTCTACAAGCAAAATGATAAAGTTTCATAATTATACAATGCACTTAAAATACTTGTTACAAAAATAATTCAGTCACAAAATATAACACACACACACACACATCTTAAGAAGTGTATTTTGCTATAAATTTCAAGGCTAAGGCTAATGAACGAGACCCATCTGAAAACCTAAGATGTAAGACGTCTAAATGAATGTCCATTGAAACATCTCGAGAAATGTTTGGCTATTTATCAATGTCAAGAATGATTTTAAAGTTTCACAGTTCAGGATATCATACCTCACAAACAGAAGGCATGACAAGAGGTGCAAATAGTATCATGTGGATGCAAGTGCCACCATTGTAAAACTGCCACCAAGGGTACCATTATGGATGGCCTAATGTCTCATCAATTACAGAAACTGTTGAAAATTATCTTCTCCAGGGTACAGAATGCATTGCATCTGTGTGGCAACAGCCATTACAGCAACAACTCACACCTCATCACATATGCTGATTACTTCTTAGACAATTGCATACTTGAAGTCGAAAATTGTGCAAGGCTTCCCATGTTATGTCCATGAGTTCAAGCAACTCCTCAGCTAGTCTGAAAAATTAGGTGGCTATTCTCAAGGAAAATTAGCATAAAACAATTCTGTTCTGAAAAGGCTCCCACAAGACGTGTTTCACCATGTTATCAATATCAGAGAGGTACCGTCCTGCATGAAAACCATAGTGTCTATCACATTTTGTCAAATTTGGATTCCATGTATTGATGGTTCTTTGAAAAAGTATGGTCAGCTATGAAACCACAAAACATTGTTACTTTAGCATCATGGATGAGTTTAGGAATTATTAAATATGAATTAGTTTTGACCAGATAACTTAGATGCATGATTTGACACTTCTCAAAATGGCGAAGTCTGCTTCATCATTCAATAAGATATTGGCAGACCACTGGTTATTGAATTCCAGTCTTGCCAAGAACTGCAGTGCAAGAAGTGTCATGTTAAATCCATCTCCTTCAGTGTTTGGACATGATACCAGCTTGTAAGGAAGTATTCACAAAGTTGATCAAAGAGCCTTAAGTTGAAACTGGCAAATCTAGACACAGGATGACATAATGAGCACCTATAAGTGCTTGTACTGGCTTTTTCTGCTACAGTATGGCTGACCTTGATGATAGTTTCCATAAGTGTCGGTGGTCTGCTTGTACATGGCTTATCACAAGTGCAACATGTACCCTCAAATGTTTTAATGAATTTATGCACTAAAACAAAGTCCTCTGTGGATGTTATGCACTTTACAGTATTTTCTGAGAGATGCCTAGGTATCGCATCCTTTGGGGTAATATTTCACTAGTTCACCTTTTTTGCACACATGTCAGTTTCATGTTGGTTGAACGAGCTGCACTGCAGCAGACAGGCCCATTTATACCCATGGTGGCAACAAGTGACAACTGTGGCATTTGTATCTGCATCATACCCTTAACATTCCTGTGCAATTTCACCTTCCCATGTCAGACTCTTTGAGAGATATGATGAGATGAACTGCAAAACTTTCTTTATAATCACCCTGTACAATCCAAAGTTCTATACCAGTCCAGAATTCAAACTTACCTGTTAAGAGCATTTAACATTTCTATAGTTACAAGAACAGACAATGCCATAGTCATTGGATGAGGGTCATTAAACACATTACAGTCCACTCCTTTGAAGTTATTTGGATCATTTGGACAGGCTAAATGATGAGTCAGTTGATAGTAGTTCATGTGAGGACCTCCTTCTGCCACCATGAACCACCAGGCTGCTGCTCCTACTGTGGCAGCACCAACATATACTAAAAAATGATAAAATCTTACATGAAATGATTTTTTCATATTGATTCAACATATAAGCAGAACAGACAAGGTAAATGTGATACAAATTTTATCATACTCAGGTCTTGGTGTATCAATAACAAACCAAAGATGGGACATGTATGAACAGTAACAAATAATGAATAATACCAAAGAATCAAAAGAAAATGCAGTACAGAGTGATGTAACACGTATAAACATGAACATATAAGGAATAATAACACAGAATGAGCAGAAACATAATACAGAGTAATCCGACAGGCATTATTATATCATTACAGATACCGATGAACAAGAAGAGGAAGCTAAACTAATTTGAAAAAGCTAGATTAGGATTGTGAAAAACAAATATTTAGTTAACTACAGATACAAAATATAATGAACAGAAGGAAACTTACAATGGAGACATCTAATATCATTATTATTTATAGTTAAACACATCAACAATCAACTGGTGAAGAATGGATTTGACAGTCTCACCATGTCTGAAAATAAATTTAGCTTACTTCCAATTGCCATGTAACGGAAAAACAACCACCCAGAAATCAAAGATTCATCAGCTCTCCTTGGAGGACGGTCCATTATGTCCAAATCTGGAGGGTTGAAGCCCAAGGCTGTAGCTGGTAAACCATCAGTCACCAAGTTCACCCATAAGAGTTGCACAGGTATAAGTGCTTCAGGAAGACCCAAAGCAGCAGTCATGAAAATGCTGAAAACAAGTTTTATAATATGTTATGCATATACTGTAGCTATATCAAAAATAATATACAACAGAAACAAAATTTAAAGAAATTTTTCTAAATATGAGGTGAGAAGTTTCTTATTAGAGAGCTAATGAGAAAGTGAGAAAATTAAGTATTAATTTCTTTGTTCAAAAAGCTTTTGTGATGATACTTTTTAGTATAATGTTACGTGAATAGAGAGATTTAAAATGAGCTCATTCCAACATAAATCAATAAAAAGAAGAAAGGTAATTTGAAAATAAAGCTCACACAACATCTTTTGTCTATTAAATAAATATTACCTTACAACTTCACCAATGTTAGAAGATATCAGGTAACGGATAAACTGTTTCATGTTGTTGTAGATCGCTCTGCCCTCTTCTACAGCAGACACAATGGTGGAGAAATTGTCATCCGCTAATACCATTTCAGCTGCTGACTTGGCTACAGCTGTTCCTGAGCCCATGGCAATACCAATCTCTGCCTTCTTTAAAGCAGGTGCATCATTCACACCATCACCTGTCTAAATTAAGGTAATACAAATGAAATTATAAAAGCATAATCTTAAACTGAATACAAAGGTCTTAATATTGTAATGTATGAAAAGACGACAACTTCTTGAAATGAAAAATACTATAACAAAGAATAAAAAAATCTAAAGACTAATACAACTAATACGAGCTGTTATTATTCTTTTGTGAATGAAAATTACTATGAGCTCAGTATACTCTTGAAAAGCATTTGCTCTTTCCACAGTAAAAAAAAAGTTAAAGATTCTATCAAAATAATGAAAGGTAGTAGCAGAACTTTCTACAGAAAGAAAAAAACATACGTAATGCTTTTTACATATTGGTAAATACCTTTACACTAAATTATTAGTGGCTCTTCAAGGCAGAGGCACACAATTCTATTCACACCAAAACTTGTTTTTTATATTCCCAAGTTGAAAAGTATACTTCTGCTGGGACTTCTAAACTGGCATTTTATACACTAGTAACATAAAGATTATTGAAATTATTTAATGCATGTTCACACAATTTGTAAGCTTTTAGTAAACATTATGAGTATTTTGGAAACAAAAAAATCAGAACTTTCAATAAAGTATTTCTACTAAAGATTTGAATTTACTTTAGTCAGAGTGATAAGGATTCTATCTAGTTTGAATGCAAGGTGATTTTCATGTTAGAAATAAATGCTTAAGATTTCATATTTCCATTTATTCAATTTGTAGAATCTTCTAAATGAATATAAGAATATTTTTTTCATAAAATTTCATATCTTATGTTATTTTATCTACCCTAACACTACATAGGCTTGGTCCATTTGGCTGAACTTGTAACTACCACAAAAAATACAAAATACATCTAAATTATCTTTTTCTTTTCTTTCTAGAATGACTGCAGTTTGTAACAGAAAGTAACATTTTCCTAAACTGAAAATGTATTTGTGATAGATACTTACTTCTTCTCACAATATGCTTTCTTTACTTATACTGCTCTCTATCAGAACAACTTTTTTGCTTGCTACTACCCTTGATACTCTCACTTATTTCTGCATAACTATACAGCAACCCTCCACAAATAGGAGTGCAACATTACCCTTATTTTAACTAGCACCTTCTCTAATATTGTATATGTTAACCACTTCGAGATTGGTCAGATCAAACCAAACCACACCGGAAGAGGGGAGGATGGGTGAGATGGAATTAAAAACAAGACACTTATGGGAGACTGCCCCATTTCTGACCCTTTAGTAATGTATCACCCTCAAGGAAAATTAGTGTAGAGTGGCTACAGTGTGACAGACCATAAATGGGAGTTCGACCTTAACCAACACCTGGCAGCATCTGGAATTGTATGTCAGGGCTGTGGTAGGAAAGAGGGTCCTCTACCTTTCACTTCAAAAATGGGTACCACCCAGAAAGAGGAGTTTCTATACCAAGAACCTGCTTCCGCATGTGTGCACCTCCAACACAACCAGCACCAGATACACCAGGATCCAACATCTGGCAGATGGTAAAAAGGAGAAAAACCCAGGCAGCATTGGGAATTTATCTTCCAGTTCTCGGTAGTAGGAGGGTATCATCCAAACAGATGTGAAGACTTAATGTGGCTGGTCCAGCTCCAACCAACACCCAATCCCCAGGAATCAACATCCAGCAGATGGTACAAAGGAGGGTGCCTCAGCTGGAGGGACAAACTGCAATATATGGCAGAGTGCTACATCCAACACCTGGTGGCATCTGGAATTATACATCAGGTCTATGGTAGGAAAGGCCATCTACACCAGCCGAATGCCACTGCCCTATTCTCAACTGAGTGTTATTGTGCACACTCGGGAAGACAGGCCTTTCTGGTCCACCACTGCAGCAGCTAGGAACTGGTAAGTTGCAAGGACTCCCACACTCCACTAGAACAAGGAGAGAAAAAATATGTTGTAGAGTCCTGAGAACCACAGCACTGGAAACAGTGCAATAGGTGGCCACAATACTCTATTTTGAAAAGTAGAGCAATCACATTGATGGAGTCAATCAACCAACACCTGGTGGCATCTGGAATTGTACATCAGGACCCCAGCAGGAAGAGCCTCAAACAGCTCGAATCATCTGAGATAGGCAGTAATCCTTGTTTGCTTTACTCATGTCAGTCCTTGAGTGTATGGTCCGGGATGAACATACTTATGAAACAAAATACTGCAAGGTACACATAAGAGAGGTCCTGCTCAACATCCCATCTCAATGGTGGGTGTAATATGACCTGGATATGTGTTATGACATTGTATTTTGAGAGCACAGAGAACACATTGATGGAGTCAGTCAACCAACACCTTGGCAGCATCTGGAATTGTACATCAGGTCTGTGGTAGGAAGAGCCTCAATCACAGTCATCTAGCATGGTATATGATCATAGGTCATACAATGTGGATTTAAGACAGGCAACACTTGCCACAGAGCAGGATCCAAATATGCAATAAAGGCCACTGAAAAAAAGAAAAGAAAGGAGTACTTAACACTAACAGATAAACAGTTACAGCACTGCTGATGTCCCCCAAGAGACGATAGAAATATTCAGTCATGGACAAGATAAGGTGACAGATTTAATGGGAAGAAAACATGAAAAAAAAGGCAGCAATCATCAGGAGAAAAGGAAAAAAAAAACTTCAGGCAAATTAACTAGCGAATTCAACCTTGAAGGGTAATGAGAAAAAGGGCACGGGAGAAGTAAGGATTTCATGGAAGAAACAAATGGACTCGTGAACCACGGAAGGGAACAGTACATGACATATACCATCAGTGAGCCCTGACCGAGCAAAGGATGCAGATGGGATCAGAATGATCATAAAGGTGGGAAATGAAGGGAAGGGAAAAAATTAAATGGTAGCAGTATCCTCTTGAGCAGCCAAAGGCTTGGGCATAAAGGAATGAACTGGAAAGAGGAGAACAAAGAAAATAAAAATGTGAACATCAATCAAAACACATTAGAATGACAGACAACATTTGCAACATTTCAAGGAAAGGTGATATAATGAACACAAAGACAAAGTTCCAACAGAGGATAGGATGGGGAAGAGCATGGAAGACCACACAGATGTGCTAATCTGAAAGGGAAGCAGAGTAGAGAGGATGGGAAAAATGGAAGGAACAAAACAGAATGGATAAAACTGGCAACAGGAAAACACAAGCAATGTAGGTAAACTGAAAGGTGGCAGATAACACCACCCTATAGCCCACAACAGAGGAAACCAAATGTGAGGAACCATAGAATGGGAAAGACTATAACCTGTTAGGATAGACCAAAAGTGATACATGTACCATGTAAGTAAGTAAATCACCATGGAAGAAGAAAGAACAGGACAGAAAATGAAGGAAACAACATGTGAAAGTCTGGCCCTTCAGGTGAACCGGACTAAGCCACGTGTGAAGACAGAGTGTAGGTACAAATGGATGACATATACCAGAGCCTGGCTGACAGATATAAAGGAAGAGAAAGCGAGGCGATGCAAAAAACTGGTGCAGCAGTGGAATTTACATATGAGACAGCCAATATGTAACTAGTAGCAGAACAGCAAGAAGTTCCAAGACTGATATGAAGAGAGGACTCGGAAGTACATCATCGCCCTGAAACCTCCCAGGTGTTGAGATACACCCTCCAACCAGAAAAAAAGAAGCATCTGTAAAAGGTGACATTCTGGAGGAGGAAGAGGAACACCCATGGTAGTATTGTCCCGATCCAACCAAAGTCAGAGTCAGTCTAAGGAATGGGGAAGGATATGAGGGGCATATAAGGGATCCCTCTATTGGTCTATCAAAACCCACTGATGATGATGCATGAGAGCACAACCAAAAGGAATGAGGGGTTCAAGAGAAGTCCACATCCCCAAAAGAGAGAGAACTTTTTGTGTAGTAGCAGAAGAAGAGGATGAGATGCTGCATATGAGACATTCTGAAGCTTGAAACTGAAGTGGAGCAGGTAGGGCCTGACAGAGGAAGGAGTTGAAAAACACCCTGAGATAAACCAATAATTGTATGGGTTCGAGGAAAAAACTGCTACACTTTTACAAGTAAACTCACCACGACAGTGTCCTGCAGAAGAAACTGAGGATGTAGGACTGAGTCGGCTTGTGAGGAGGCAAGAAATAGCCATATGTCCATAGAATGGTGGAAAAGAAGGCTCCTATAATGAATCAGGAGGGGAAGGAAAGGAAATGGGATTGTGAGACAAAGGGGGAGATGAATGGAAGTAGAGGACCAGACTTACTAAAATGACTTTCAGAACCCATGGATCAACTGTCAAAAGTGGGCAAATTGAAGAAGTTGGACCCCCACCAGCCCTGACCCAAGAAGGAGTGGTCCAGGGAAGACAAATGTTGATAATCAAAAGCACGATCTTTCACAGTTCGTGGGGGTTGAGGCATACTGACCCACAAATGCAAATGCTCCCCAAAATGACTTGCATGAACCCAAATATCCAGGGAAGGAGGAAACACTAAGAATCGACCCAAATGCTAGTCCCTGAGATAGGCATGGTTGGAACATAGGAAATGGGAGATAAAGTCATAAAATAACATACCTGAATAATCAAATCCACCAAATGGAAATAAGAACTGGGCAAGTCCTCTGAAATGACACAGGAGGAGGGAAAAGGCTGTCTAAATCCAAAAATTTCCAATCACGAAACTGTGATAGGACAACTATCAGTGTGTTCTGATTATTGCATGAAACTGGTCAACTCCTGACGAACCAGAGCCGTCACTTCATGGTACAAGAATCATGGTTCCGACCTGATGGATGTGGTCAGTAATTCAGCTGCAGCAGTAACAGGAGTTGTAGTCGTGACCACATGAAACTGTGAGTGCATAACTCACAAAAGAGAATGAAAATGGTAAGAACAATGTAATAAAAGTAGAAAAATCTGCATCAGGAGGGATAAAGCATTAGGGCTAAAAATTTTGGGTGGGGGAGGAGGCCGTCTGTTGACCCTTTTCAGGGCTAGGAGGAGGACCGTGGTCCAATTCTCAGAATTTTGCTGTGGGGGGAAATGGGAGTACCCCAAGAAAACCCACTTTCACTGGTCAGGCGCTAGTGCATCATCTATTTTTATATATATATATAGACACATACACATACATAAATGTACCCACACATACCAGTATCCTTTTCAGTACAGAAAAGGAACTATTGGCACCCCAGACAGAAGAGTTCTGTGAAAAATTAGAACTTTAAATTTTGTCATTTTTTCTTACTTACATAGATGAAAATTTGTTGAAATAGTGAAATTTTTGTCACTTCATAAAAATGTATGTAGTGATTTAGGTGGCTTTATAAGTATGATAAACTCTAGTTTTGCTCAGCCAATAATGTGAAATAGTTATTGTTAATGTCCACACATTTTAAAGATGGTTTTTAAGTGGGCAATTTTTATGGCTGCCATTTTGTTTTATCATGATCCCTACTATTAAGTACTACCATACTTAATGATATTTCTTATTTAAATTAAGAAACCAAAACCTATATAATATCAAAATTTGAATTATAAACTATATTTTAGTGCCAAGCTTATTGACTTACATTGATGATCAAGTTGTTTAATTAAATCTTGAATGTAACTGTAAAAGGTGTGATATACACACTTTGACCCTCACTCATGAACGCAAGGTTAATCCTTATTACTGACACAGATATACTTTTAAAATCAGACAAAATAATGTAAAGACACACCATAGCAGAAATCTCTCCATCAGCTTGAAGAAACTCTACAATCTTGCTCTTGTGGGCTGGTTCTACTCGGGAAAAGAGACGAGCACGGGCACATGCCAATCTCTGTTCATTTGGAGAGAGATCATCAAACTCACGCCCAGAGAAAGAAAGACCTACAAATGGGAAATAACAATCATGGTAACAAGCATAATATAAGGTAGTCCAAGGAAAATTAACTTACATTTCAATAACCACTAATTTTCAAACGTTTTTATATGGTCAAAAGAAAAAGAAAACTAACCTGAAGTATCCTCATTCTCACCAAAAACTCCAATTCTACGACAGATGGCTTCAGCAGTAGCCTATAATTATCAAAAGTTCAATTAAGTAAATGAAAAAAAACAAAAACAATTTCCATACTTTATTTGGTCAATTTCCCATTTTCTCAACTCACCAAATGATTTATGTGATTTTTAAAGCAACATCCAAAACCTTATAAACATCAACAAATTTACTGCCAATCCCTTCATTTATGCCACTGATGTAAATCAAAAAGTGGAAAGGTCTTAACACTGAGCCCTGAGGTAACCCCACTTGTGATATTAATCCAGTCTGACTGAGCTCCATTTACATCCCTCTGCTTTCTTTCATCCAGCCCTTTTTTCTATCCGATGAGTCATCTTATCCCTCACATCTATAGAGATAATTATTTTTAACAAACATTTTATGTGGCACCTTGTCAAATTCTTTCTGAAAATCCAGATACACCAAATCCAAACCCTTACGCTCATCTACATAAGGATTAACCTTTTCAAAGAATGTCAAAACATTAGTAAGGCAAGATTTTCCTTTAGTGAAACCATGCTGACTATCCAAAAAAATTTTAAACTTTGTTAAATGACTTTGCAAAACAACTTTTATCAGAATTTCAAATACATTTCTCACCATTGAGTCTATTAATACTGGAATAATGTTTATCACCTTGAAAAGAGGAGTTACATTAGCTAACTTCCGATCTTCTGGTAACTGCCCACTATTCAAGTACTTGCAAAATGTAGTAGGAAATGGGTCACATATCAAATTTTTAATCTCCTTCAAAACTCTAGGGAAAATATTATCTGGTTCCTGAGCCTTATTATTCTTTAAACATTTTTTTCTTAACTAGTTCAGAATTACTGTGATTGTCTTGTCCAATCTTGTTTCCACCCAGTTACTGTTCAGGGCAAAGAATGCTGCTTAAATGTTCATTCATAAATATTGAAGAAAAAGCAGTACATAATACACCAGCCATCTTTTGCAGCATTGCTTCCCAGTTAGATTCTTTACTATGGTTGCTTTTTCTTGTTGATTCATGATTTGTACTCAGCTAATTGTAAGAAATGTGAACAAAATTCACAGGTATTGCTTTAACACAAGATCAAAGGCATGCAAAGTACTACCTGGTGGCAAATTATATTTAGAGCTATTGTATTCTGCATGTCATGATGATCATATGCTGTGAATTTCAACTTAATCTGTACTGATGTATTTGAATTATACCTTTTTGAACCAGATGCAAGACTTTATAACCACTGTATTTTAATACAACTTCCTCTTACATACAGATGTTCTCAAGATGAAACTTAGTTTAAAATTTAAATTATTTGACTTCCAGCTCTTGATGGTTAGCCCAGCAAATACACGAAACAATGTCCATATTAAAGCGAGAGGGATTAAACAACTGATATTCAGTGGAAGACTACACCATTGAGAGAAGCTTGCATGAATCAACCCTTAAAGCCCAACAGTTTAAATGTATAATGCCTAATTTCTATCCACTGGCTTTAAAATATTGTTCAGTATTGTAATTTTACACGGTAAACAAATTTTAAACCTTATACCTGTTTATCACTTATATAAGGTTGTAAATTACAATCACAATCAACTCTTTATACAATTGCTTCATTCAACAATTCAAATTAATGGCCAATCATGAGAAACAATTGTTTGAATATATTAATTAAAAATGAGTCGCATTCTACTGAGTGAGAAGTGTACATATTGCACTTACGTGTACATGTGTAAGCCTTGCTTTCCCTTAAAATCTGCCAATGCAGTGCAGTTTCAGAAGTGAGAAACAAAAACATAAATCATTTCTAGCAATTAATAAAGTTACATCTCCACTTCAAACATTACTTTAATAATATTTTGGACTGTTTCAAATATGGCATATATACTTCTGGAACAGTTATGATGCTGTAAGGTCATCTCGTATTATGTTTCTGGGCATATATATATATATGCACATATATACATACATCAGAAGGCTATCGGAAATTAGTGTCTACAGAAAAATTCACAAAAATTCAGGTAGAACTTGTGTTCAAGGAAATAAAGTTCCATCATATGTTACCTAACATGTTAAAATTACTAAGTAATGCAAAAATATTATAAACAGTATAACTGATACAAAAAAATATTAACATTTTAAATAAAATGAAACATAAAAATCAATTTTATGATGGAATGTAAGGCAATAGATCTGTTGTGCAACATAACATTTAGTGTGGTAACCCATGAGGTAGTGTAATTGAATTATTCATTAACACTTTTGTGATAAAGGTAGAGAAAAATAGTTTGTCTTGTCAGTTGGATTCTAAAGTAATTGAATCAGCCTAAGTGGACTTTCAACATGAAATAAGAGAACTATTTAGAGCTTGAGATACAACTGTGATATCCATAGTGTAAGGAATTTTTGTACATACATTATTTTAAAAAAAGTGGAGTGTGTGCTGTCCATTTATTGTTCAAATTCATCACCATCAAGTCACAGATACCTAATGTAGAAAAATCCTCAGCCCACTATATACTTAAAACCCTGACATTTGGTGAGCCAGTCAGGATTATACAGTGGTAAATGCTAGTAGAAAGAAGGTGTAAACAACAGCAGAAATAAGTAGGCCTATATAAACATAACTCTAGTGGTAGCAAAAATAGTGTAGAGATTACAATTACAATATTTAACCATGTCAGCTGATTTTGATAAATGGATAAAAAGAGGTGAGAATGTTGGATTAAAAGACAGTGAACTATGAGAGGTCGATAAGCAACAAGAACTAAAGAGAGAAGAGTGGCAACAGAAGAGAGAGGAGGAGAACAGAGAAGAGAGGAAGAAAGACCAAGAGAAGAAAATGAGAGAAAGGAGAGACTGGAAATAGAGAGAGAGAAAAAGCACAAATTGTGAAAGAAGAAAAGGAGAGAGAGAAAGAGAGAAGAGACTGGAAATAGTGAGAATAAGAGCACAAATTGAGATTGCAGGCTCACCCAATGGAAAGATGAAGTATCCAAGAATGACAATGGAGTCTGGGCCAGCTGACCCAAGCTGCCCAAGTTTGATGAACAGAAAGATGACATGGATACTTTCTAGAGAAATATGAAACATTCACCCAAAGTCAGAACTTTTGAAGTACAGGAGGTTATTGACAGAATGTACGATAAAGTGAAAGTGAAGACCTATGTTACTATGCCAATCTGTTAAGAGGTATTTAGAGAGAGAAGAAGACCTAATAGAAGATAAAGAACAACCAGGCCTAAGACCATTTGGTGGAGATGTGACGTACAGGAACGTCAACATAAGTGAAGAACTGACTGGTAAGAAGAAGAAAGAGGAACAAGATCTACTGTGCCAGTATACAGATAGCTAAGGAAAGACAGACCCCAGACAACACAAGATCAAGATGAATACAAGGGGTTCTATTAAGGTGAAGTCCTACCATAGGCCCTACATGAAGAGAGACCGACAAAGAAACTGTAAATATTGATGTAGACTATATGAGAAGATTTAGTGTATGAACTAAGAACAATCTTTGTACATAGTGCAAAAAAAAATATTGTAAATATTTTTCTTGAAGAGGGGCTTATTGTCGTATATACAAGACTGTTTAGTGTGGGTGTTATTAGTTGATTTATTTTGTGTGTTATTGATTGTTTAGCTTTTCATAACAAGAGTTATAAGTTATTCATTTTAAAGGCAATAGTTATGACAAGTTTGATTACGTAACTCTGTAATAGTCATACGCTGTGTTTGCAACTACATTGTTGTCTAAGCTTTGCTAATATTGTTGACATCACATTACTCGAATCTTCACTATTTTTCTTATCTTAACTGAGTATTATTAAATCAGCACCATTCACACACTTTACAGAAAGTTCCAGGCCTCAGTGAATAAGCTATTTATATAGGTGGCTCACAAGTGCAAGTGAAGTGAAGTTCAGTAAAGTCGAGTGCAGTTCAGTTCAATCAGAAAATTAGTTAGTGAGAGAAAATGTGAAGTTAGCTGGCATGTGAGTGATTAGCCATAACGGGCGATATTTTATAGTGAATTTCACAGTAGAGATAAAGAGCAATTACTTCAGAACACCCTTTTGTCTTGTCAAAGGGTGTTCTAAAGTATTGAACCTGACTGTGTGGACTTTGATGAAAAAGAAACAATTGCTTGAAGTAACAGCTGAATTACAGCTGTAGTAACCCACAAGGTATCATAAGTGAATTATTTACTCATACTGTTTTGATAAAAGTAAAGAAAAATAGTTCGTCTTGTCAAATGGATTCTAAAGTAAGTGTATTAGCCTAAGTAGCCCTTTGACAAGAAAAAGAGAACTATTTAGATTGTGAGATACAACTGTGATATCCATAGTATAAGGAATTTTTGTACATACATTTAACTTGTTTTGAATATATTATTTTAAAAAAGTGGAGTGTGTGCTGTCCATTTATTGTTCAAATTTATCACCAACAAGTCACAGACACTTACTGTAGAAGAATTCTTTGCCCAATAAATAGTTAAAACCCTGACACTTAGAATATGTATTAACAAACAATAATTTCAACAAATTAGTAAAATCTTACAGTAATTAAAAAAAACAGGGCAGTGAGTATTTTAGTTTGTCTGATGAAATATTAATATTTTCTGATGCATAAAAGTATTTTTAATCTTAAAATCAAAATTACTTTGCATGTTGGATAGTCAACATTTGAAGAGAAAAATGCATGAGAAAAACATTACTTATAAAATCTTAAAACTTAATTAATAAATCTTATATTTTGTGTATGAAAGCCTTGTAATATTTACTGATAATCTGCAAAATTTTGTGAAGATATGCTTACTAATTTAAAAGTTATAACATAATAAGCACAAAATAGTTACGAGATCAGTCCATGGGACCGAGCCCGTGCTGTGAGAGTTAAGGAACTAATGCAAAATCTTTATAACGTCCAGATAATTATCAAATGTTTTTAACTCTCTCAAGACGGGTTTGGTAAATTTGACTGACCATGTGACCTCTTTGTACTCGATTAAAGTCGTTATAGATTTAATACTTCTAACTTTCAATATAGTGTGCATAACTTCACAAAATTTGGCAGTCTTTCACATACAAAAAAAAAATATTTTTTAGCAAAGTATTTTTAATAAAATAAAATAAAGATTTGTCCATGAATATATTGAGTATTTGTTTTGAATAGTCAGTGTGTAAAGTAATTTTCGTGTTAAAATTAAAAATACTTTTCCTCATCTCAAATTTCCTTTGGGTAATCGTTAAAATGTCCTAAATGCATTTGAAAGTTTTTTTTCTGTAAAACTATATAGTTTATCTGTTATTTTCTCTACCCTATCTCAAAATTGGATCTGTCAGTTCCACTGACCATGTAACTACCAAAAACCTAAGTTACCCTTTTTTCCTTTGTAGAATGACTTCAAATTTTAATATAGAACTACATTCGTTTATCCTAAGTAGCTCTAAGT